TTTCCTGTGAAGGACAATAAAGTATCTATCTATCTATTCACAAGAATCCACTGGGCCTAAACTAAAACAACCAATTGTAAATGGTTTGTACTTATATAGCACCTTTCTAGTCTTCTGACCACACAAAGCACTTTTACACTACAGCCACATTCACCCTTTCACACACATTCACTCAGTGATTACGCAGCTTCAGGTGCAATTTGTGGTTCAGTATCTTGCTCAAAGATATTCAACTTGCAGCAGGGAGGCCGCGATGGAACCAACAACCTTCCAATTAGTGGACCATCTGCTCTACCTCTGTGCCACAGCCGGCATTCAGAAATGGTTTAAGGAACAAAACAACAATTCAAGGTGTTGAACTGGCCTCCAAATTTCCCAGATCTGAATCCAATTGAGCATCTGTGGGATGTGCTGTACAAACAAATCCGATCCATAGAGGCCACACCTCACAACTTACAGGACTTAAAGGATATGTCAGGTGCCAGATACCACGGCACACCTTCAGAGGTCTAGTGGCGTCCATGCCTCAACAGGTCAGGGCTGTTTTAGCAACAAAAAGGGGACCTACACAACATTAGGCAGGTGGTCGTAATGTTATGGCTAAGCGATGTATTTCTTGGCTCTGATTGGTTATTTGTATTCAGGCCCGGTGGATTCTTGCAAATGCCATTAGGAGTACTAGGAGGAGCCAGAGGAACCTGATATTTTCACAGATTATCCGTCTTTTGTACTAATGTCAAGATATAGTGAGTTTCAGCAAATATGACAAAAAGTTATTTTTAGAAAAGTTACTGTACCTACTGTAGCTTTCAACTATTATTAAAATTGTATTAATGTAGGCCTTTCATTGTACAATAAAGGTTAACTGACACCGCCAGCTAGTCAAACCAAGATTACATTATTCACGCAACCCACTGTGATCTCACTCAGGCTACTATTAATTATCTTTTGGTTAATAATGTTTCATATGGCTGTTAAAATACAAGCAATATTTTTTTAGACCTCAGCTGACTATTTTCCAAGTGTTTCCTTATTTTACTTTCTTACTAGCGCTGGTATTTAAAGACCTTGGAATGAGAACGGGCTGCAAGTGTTCTGGCCTGCTGGATCCATTTCCAGTCCAGTCTTGTGTTTACAGTAGGCGGACTGGAGCAAGACTTTAGTTTTGTGGTCATTAAATTTGACCTCACTGAACTGTTACTGCACTCTGACAGCTATACTCTTTAAAAAAAAATTACAAATACACTTGGCTGCAGTTGCCACAGGATTTTAGGAAGACATCAGTCATGTCAACACCATAATCATCCTCCATCTGCTCTGGTCTGAGCTTCTGCTTGACCAGTTGCTCGATCTGGGTCAGCTCCTTCTCCTGTGGTGGTCTCACACAAGTTGTAGCAGCTTGTATTTTTTATTATTATGTAAGCAGTCTTTTAATTCCTGAATCTTGGTAATTCAGCCCTTTTTCATTTCCTGCATTCATTTCTATGAATCCAGATTATGATTTTATGAGTAACAGATACCCACATTTTTTTTATTACAGCATTAGTATACATCTCGAAATGTCATTGCTTTATTAATGAGTTTTTATACTTAAGAGTACAATAGACAAATCCCACCACTCAACTGCATATTTTAAGAATGCCTGTCGCTTTTCAACTGCTGCTTTTTAATCATATGTTAAATGGATGCAGATGATGTGATCAGAGGCACCAAATGGCATCATTTATTATTCACTGCACTTCAATTCATGAGTGACTGGCACCAACTTACAGGCTTTTTACTATCTTTTGCTCATCTTTCTAGAAGTCAATATAAACTGTTGTGTATCGTGTTGTTATAACTACGCAGTAAAATCAGAAAACATAACTGGATTGTTCATACAGTCCAGCTCTGCACCGGTTCAACAAGAAGCATTTTAAACACTGACTTAAAGCTGCAGTAGTAAATAACTTTTTATCATATTTGCTGAAACTTTCACTATATCCTGACAGTAGTACACGAGACAGATAATTAGTAAAAACATGAGGTTCCTCTGGCTCCTCCTAGTTCTCCTAATGGCATTTGCAGGGATCCTGCAGGGCTGAACAAAAACAATCAATCAGAGCCCCAGGATCCAATGAATTCTTGCAAATGTCATTAGGAGCAGAGGATCCAAGTACTTTGTTGATAAATGTTATCATATTTTCCAATAGGTTCCAAGTCATTTGGTATTCATACTGCATGTATATGAGTGTGCCTATACTCCTATCTTCAGCATATATCTGATTCCTGCAGTTTTAGTGCCATCTTACATGAATGCACCTATATGTAATTAACCAAGTCTGCACTTCCCTCGACATCTTATACCAGGACCCAACAATTTCCCTCCACATCTCAATAGTAAAATAATGACTTTTAGTAATACACGAAATATATATCGGTTGATAATGTGAAATGTATATTATTGTGTATTATTCCAATAATTTCTTTAAAATTCTTATACAAAATGTTTGATAGGCTTTATATTCTATGAAATCCGAAGTATGTCTGTGGAAGAGGAAAAGCAGGTCGTCCTCTAATCGGAAGGTTGTTGGTTTGATCCCCGGCTGCTGCCGCCACATGTCGAAGTATTCTTGAGCAAGATACTGAACCACAAATTGCTCCCGATGCTGTGCATCAGTGTGTGAATGTGTATGAATGTGTTAGTTTCTGTTTGATGGACTTTGCCATCGTTGAGTGAATGTGTGTGAAAGGGTGAATGTGGCACGTAGTGTAAAAGCGCTTTGAGTGGTTGAAAGACTAGAAAGGTGCCATACAAGTACGGTTCCATTTACCAAGTCTTGTTTACTTTACTAAAAAAAACTAAATTACCATTTGGAGATTTGTTTGGGGTGGGTGCTTTTATTGCCTTTGTGATGGTGAGGGGAAAGGGGGGGCAGAGAGGGCTGATGACACGCAGCAAAGGGCCGCAGGTCAGATTTGAACCCTGGAGCAGCAAGGCCTTGGTACATGTGTCGCCAGCTCTACCCACTGAGCTAACTGGGCGCCCCTTGAACTTGGTTTTAATGTTCAAACCACTCTTAGTTTCAACTTGTCAGGAAACAATGCTGACTCACCTGGTCACATACAATCTCCTATTCCAGATGAACAGTACACTAAAATATGTTTGTGAAAAGATTTGGGGAAAGAAATAGTCAGCACAGTGACATAATCTTGACTCATATTTGATCAGCACTGCCTAGTTTGATAGTTTGATCTGAGTTTGGTGTGTTGAGCTGGACGGACTCACTGTGAATGACTCATAAGGTAGCCACGCCCGAAAGCATACCCTAAATGAACATCATGCTGTATGGAAAAAGACTGAAACTAGAGATTGAGACCATAAACTCATTAGGATCATTAGGAAACTGTTTACTGAGCTCATAAATAAAGTCAGAAGTCAGGTCATATATCCAGAAAAATCAATACTATGACACTTGTTTTTTGCAGTCCATAGAGCTGGCCATTACAAAGAATGCAGGTTTAAGACACTTCACAGACCCAGAAGATCTGTCCACTAATTATATACTATCAGTGGTCTGTAGCTTTACTGTATAGTCTTAAGAGAACACTGATACTTTCTCATCACATTACATTACATTACATACATAGAGTGAATCAGACTCAAGCCAGACTCAATTTGATGAGACAAAAGGAAAAAAAGACCTATAACTGTACTTTGACTTCACCACCAGAGATTTGTGACTTTTGTGTGATTGATACACTGGAAGCTCAATAGCACCTTTTGCGTATATTTTTTAAATATATTTTAAATCCTGCATTGTTCGTGTATGTATTTGCTTGCTAGCTGTCTTCTTTTCTTCCTTTGCAGGAATGTGTAAAAGACATTGTAGTTGCCACTTTATTGCCTGTTGTTAGAATATCCAGTGCTGTATTCCTTTATACAGATTTAGACTCATGTATTTATATTTGGCCATGTGTTTGATGCTGTTGCCATCAGTGAAGTCAAAAATCATTAGAGAAACTTATTTTAGCCCTAAAATGTCTTGTTACAGAGAAAATAATAAAAAAAAAATTAGCTGGATCTCAGAATAGTTTACCCCTTCAAACACTTATAGTAACCCCAGGAGTATTCAGTGTCTTTTGAATTTAAGAAGCTGTGAATGCTTTTCAGTCACTTTCATTTTCAGTGAAGACAGATAACATTTGCGTGGATCACCCATTTCTACATGGGCAAACTAATTTAAGTTATATGTTTCCCCACAAATGTAGAATTGAACCATGTGTCAGTTAGTAAGTCACTATTGCCCAGTCAAGGTTAGGTATGGGGGGAGAGCCTGTTGGTTTTTCACATAAAACAGATCATATCACTGACTATAGGCTGTACTACAGAAAAATCGCTCTCACAAGATTATGTGGAAATTCATTCATTTTTCTGCATAATCCTGAACATACAGGGGCGTCTGTGGCTAAGAGGAACAGCGTGTCGTCCACTAACTGGAATGTTGTTGGTTCGATCCCTGGCTCCTCCCGCCACACTTCAAAATATCCGTGAGATAGATACTGATACTGAACCCCCAATTGCTCCCTGTGAATATGTATTAATGTGTTAGTTTCTGTTCGATGGCTGACTGGATGTGAATGTGGCATGTAGTGTAAAAGCACTTAAAGTGGTCGGAAGACTAGAAAGGGGCTATACAAGTACAGGTCCATTTACAATTGAGAACTAATACTATACATTAAAAACTGACATTTGTAGATGTCATTCAAAGACATTCACGTTTACTGATTTCTAATCCCATGTAGCTTTTTTTTTTATCATCCCTTGACCACCTGAACAAAAATCCTTGTACTAAATTTATATTACATCTCTTTTTATTCCACAACCAAACCTGCCATGTTTAATATGAGCACAAATCATTTACATTTTCTAAATTTATATTTCTGCCACAGTTCTGCACAGTAAATATATATTGCCTGGATAAATGTCACTGACTGAATTTATTTTTCCCCCCCTCCAGGCAACATCAACATTAAAGCAACTTGATGGAGAAAACTAGAGGAGTCCCTTTAAGATGACACGCACAGACCCGCTTGACATACTGGTATCAACTGTGCATCAAGAGATAAAACTGGTCCCCATTTCTTCACACTACAAGACCTTGCAACCCTCCAAACAATGTGATTCTGTAAATTACAGCACACTGGAGGACAGTAAGAGCAAAGTCAATAAGAGGCACTGCCGTACCTTTGACTATAAGTCATTGGAGTACCCCAAATCACAAATGGAGTCCCCATACAGGAAGACTGATAGGCATGCAGCCAACCCAGAAGTTGCCTGGAATGCCTTGGGCCGCCAGCAGAGATATCGCTTTTCTGCTCCAGACATTTTCAGCCATAGGTTAACTCCTCAACCAATGTCTGCAGAGATGGCCAGTGAGGTAGTTGTCCCTGAACAGAAAAGAAGGACCAGGTCAAAAAGTGCCCCTCGGGTCCAGACTAGTCTCACCCCTGTGTCTTTTGAAGGGTCCTCATCTTCGGGGAGGAAGGGCAGGGAGCCCCAAAGGGCTCCAAGAGACTCTCGCTGGAGACCAGAAGTATCCCCGCGTAGGGAGTCCTCCTATGCAGCAACTAGGGCTCATATGCATGAGGTCCATCCCATTAAGTTACAGCCTCAAATGAGTGACAGCAGTAAATATTCACCTCACTATTCTGCTGATAATTCTGAGGATGGAGGGCTGGATAAACCAGCAACTAGTCCTCATGTCAGGTGTCGGGTGGACATCAAACCTGATGATGCAGCATTACATCATTCAGGACGAAAACAGGCTACACCTCAAGTGGACATACCCTGGCAAAGGCACCACAGTGGGGGGAGTAGGAGTCTGACTGTGCCACGTCATTTCTCCTACTCTAGAACACCAACTCCAACTGATTCATTAGGTACAGAGAGCAGGCAAGCTTATCAATATTCCCGCAGCATGCCAAATAGTTACATACAACCCATGGAAATTCCCTTGCAAAGAATGCCTTCATCAGGTGATTACTATGGTCGGGAACGCAGAGCTCATTCCAGTCCTAATGTGCCAACCAAGTTCTTTTATGCAGATGATCCAGGGAGATATGTTACTACTGCTCCACCTCAGCCAAGTTCTTACTTTCATGATGAACGTTACACACCAGGACAAACATATACTCCAAAGGTACAATATGTGCAAGATCCAAGGACTCGAATGGTGCATGCTGTAGCTACAAGACCTTATTATCCTGAGATGGAGACCTATCCATACTCTGTGCAGACAGGGTATCCCAAACCCTATGCAGCAAATGAACCAGGGCCATACATCATACAGACACCTCCAACAAGAATATTTTATGGGGATGATCCAAGGACTTATCAAATCCAGACTGCTCCGCCAAGGTTTTATTATTCCAGCGACATGTATGCAATGCCGCCAGAACATCATATCCCAGCAAGGGCGTATTACACGGAGGGCCGAAGACATGCTAGAGTCATTCAGGCACAAACAGATGACTGGTATGGCTCAGATGCATCTGGTTACTCCACCAATCCTGCCTCTTATGTATCTCAAGTCACTCCAACCAGAGTCCGTCAAGAGCCTGTGTTAACTCCCTGGTATGCCAACCCATGTGTAGAACCTCAAAGAATTGGCACAGATTCCAAATCTTACTCAAGGTCCTGGGACAATATTCTCAACTCTCGTGTAGAGAGGGAACAACCTCTTCCTGTACAGCGGGGTCAGAGCTATGATGATCTTCTTGAATCCAGGAAGCCTGCAGCAGCCACAGGTGACAAACCACAACCAGTGGTAGTCAATCTCTCCAGTTCACCAAGACGCTATGCAGCCTTATCAATGTCTGATAACTCACTAATTGACAAAAGCCCAACAGAGACATCAAAGAGCACTACTGGTAAACTCTGGTTTGTGACTCCTGAGATAACAATCACTGATAATGACATTCGACCAGGAAAATTTAATAAGGCTGAGGGACGGTCTGCCAGTTGGGACATTCTTGACTCCAGAAACATTGACGGTCCAGAACTGTCTCAGCGTGATTTTCAAAGCTCAACCAAAGAGAAGACACATGACAATGCCTCACTACAGCAAAGCCTTGAACAACTTGATGAGCTTCTGGCAGATCTTGTGACTGATTACAAACCACCCAGTAGAAGAGCAAGTGAGGACATTCTGGATCAACTAAAGAAGTTAATTGATGAGGAAGAAGCAGTATCTCTGTCCAGAAAGAGCTCAAGGGCAGGTGCGGATGAACCAGCACCTCTTGACAAGCAGCCGACCTCAATAAGAATGAATCCTGATGCTTTTCGAGACATGGACGGGACCAGTGATGCAATGAAGAGTGCAGATGAGTGCTCTCCAGATCAGAGCCCAGATGAGGACGATACAATGATGTGCTCTAACAACAAATGCCGGAGGACAGAGACCCTGTTCAATGCTTGCCTGTATTTTAAATCCTGTCACAGTTGCTATACTTACTACTGCTCTCGTAACTGTCGCAGGGAGGACTGGGACATTCACAAAGAAAGCTGCCTGTATGGAAGGATTGGCAGCACATGTCGTCACATCATCAAACACTGCCGGGAGACTGTTGAAGTTCACAAAGCCTTCTCCCGTATTGCCAAAGTTGGCTACCTTTCTCGAGGTAGAGGAGTTCTCTTCCTTGGTTTTCCAAACCCTGCATCATCCAGTAACTTCCTGCAGTATGGCCTGGATAGTCTACTTATGTCTCCTACATACCTGTCCCTCCGAGAGCTTGAAAGCTTCAAGGACAACCTAGGGGAGTACTGTAAGGAGCTGCAGGAAGCTGGTAAAGAGTATGACCCAAACGAATGTTTCATCTTGAATGTATCTATTGCTGTCGGTGAGCAATTACCTGATGGGCCATCACCAAGGAACCAAGCTCCAACTGTCAGAAAATATGCAAAGGTAGCACTGGCTTCCTTCAGCCCAGAGAGAAAGGTTCACAAGAAAGAGAGTGACATGGAAACGCTGATCCTCACTCCACCCCCAGGAACAGCAGATATCGACAAAGAGGGAGAGGAAGGCAGGAAGGCCAGGGAAATCTGTTTTATCAATATACAACGGGAGTTAAGGATTCGAGGGGTTTTCTTGCGCCACGAATACCCACAGGTGTATCAGCAGCTCTGTGAATTTGTGGAAAGCAACAGAAGGTTCACACCCACAACTATATATCCCATTGATAAGAGGACCGGTAAACAATTTATGTGCATGATTATGGCTGCCTCTGAGCCCAGGACTTTGGACTGGGTAGGCACGCCACATCTCCTTGATGACATTATTTAAGTGCACCCTTTGTTGTAAATATATATGTATAGAAATACATATATATTGTTACACATATTTATATATCAATCCAATTACAAACATTTGTAGATAAGTATTTTGTTATCAAGATTATATATATTCATGTCTGCTTGGTCAGTATTATTCTTTTTCAGAATATTTCCTGTCAGGTGCAGAATGAGTACAGTGCATTATTTATTTTAATCTTTTTAACAAGTACATACTTTTTATCCACCACAAGTCATTTATCTGTATCCTGGTCATTTGCTGTTACATTCCCTTTGGTAGGGATTACCTAAGCTGACATTTTGGTATTTTGATTTTTTCAAATTATTAGCAACAACTGTATGTTCTTCTAAACGTATAGCCTCTTTAAATGGGAGAGTCAATTTCTGTAAGCGAGTACAACATGACTATTTTTCATACGTGACTTTAATGGTATATCAGGCGGAAAATATTGAACATTATTTTCTTAGCTACGTAAATACTTTCTATGCAAAGTTGCTTCATGAGTTAAGTACCACATTCCTGTAGAAGGAGTTGTTTCTGTTATATATTATATTATATTATATTATACACATCTGTAAAGAAAGTTTTTGTTGAAACTGAGATAAAATGTTGGAAGTTTTGGTGGCAACGTAAATCCTCATCATAAATATGATAAAAACTTAAAAAGAGAAAGGTGTGCTACTTAAAACATCTATTTAAAAAACAGGCACACAAATCTTATTGTTGCGTATGTAGGAGTCTATACTGAGAGTTAACGTGTGAGTGTACTTTGGAGACAGGCTAAATTCAGTAGTTCTTAAATTCTACGCTGCAGAATTACTGGAGCACTACTGGACTTGAAAGTGACCTCCACAATGGATATTAAAATGGTGCCAGTTACCAGCCACACAGTAGGTGTTGGCCTGTACTGTTTAGTTTTAAACACTGTGAATAGTGAGAGTTATCTACTACAAAAACAGAACTTGGTATAATACCAAGAAATCATGCAATTTCCTATAACACTGAAGTTGATGAGTTGTATTTTTAGATATATTTACAAATAAAAATATAAGAATTAGCAGCAGGAGTTATTGTCCTTAGAACAAGGTGAGCCAGATTTGGCACAGTAGCTATACATGCTTGAAGAAGACATTAGTTGTGTATTTGTGCTGCACTAGATTTATTACGTGTGATTTATATTGTCCTTTTTTGTTTTAGCAAATCAGAACCCTTGCGTTGCTCATTGGTTGCAGAAGTTTTACAAACATATATCAATGCAACTTAGCCATGTTGCCTCATCTCTTCAGATACAGTACATTTCTTGATTTAGTTTTTTAGTGTCCTAAATCCTAAATTCCCTGCCAGCACACTGACAATGATTTGAAACTTACAGTTGAGTAGAAAAAAATCAACAGTCTAGCTGTTATGCCAATATCCAAACTATTTAAAAAAATGGTTTGACTGACACCATTTGACAAATGACTCAACATATCTGAAATAATTTGTCACTCAGTAAATGTTGAATAAGCTGTTTCCCCCCCTTATTAATCATTGTTCTTCATATCAACTTTTATCCTTGTGATATCAGCTTTCCTTAGAGTTTGTAAGACAAAGTACAGTGAAACTTGAAGCACATATATATTTGAAAATCAGTTTCATTGGGTTACACTTGTTTGGTTGACAGGACGTGTTGTACAGATTCAGTGAAAAGTTGCTGGCTGCATGTGGCGCTGTTTTCTATGCTCTGATCTCATTTTAACATGACATTGATGATAGTAATTGCTCGATGAATGGATTTGTGAAAGTGAAAACTACTATGCTGTGTAAGAAAAAATAAATGAATTTTCCATTTTTGTTAGTCATTTCAGTTAAAATAACGTGTCAAAAGCAATGAAGAAGAGACCTCACTAAAATGTCTAGTAATCTTGTATTTTTTTATACTTTCAACATATGTGTCTGAGTGTGTCTATTTATAAACCATATCTAATAAATGGAATGGGAACTCTGAGTGCTGCTGTCTGCCTGTTCTTAAGAAGAACTGCAACAACACTTTCTGTACATGCATATCAGATTTCATATTTCTTCAAAGCAGTGAGTAACAGGAAGTGTAAACAGGATGATGTCATAGCAGTGAGATATCTACTGTTTGTACATGGAGAACTTAGTTAGCTTGATGATATAAAATGTTTATATAGTTCTAAATGTGGTACTTTATTTGAATAAGCCGCCTACAGATTTGTAGCAGGGGGGAGCTGTACGTTGCAAACACTGAGGAGATTTTTCCCTATTTATGGCAAATATATTTTTCAGGCCAGCTGAAATAATAGATGGCCTAAAAATCTGTACAGTAAAAAACATGATAGTTCCCATCTTTTTCATCATTCTGAAACCAGAAAACAACAAATGTTCACGATGATTTCTACTGGCACTCACTCCTGCCACCTAAAACGAGGGGAAAATTATTATTAAAATGATTTCAAAAAATATTCTTTTCAAGTTACATAACATAGCTAGGTTAGGATTCATTGTAAACAGCATGATAATCTTTGTTCAATTATGCCAGAGTAGAAATCACAGAACTGATGTTTAGCTTTGTTATGACCTCAGTGCATAAGCTAGTAAGCTAACTAGCTAGCAAGCTGGCCCCACTGAATGGAACACGACTCACACCATAGACGGCTGTTTTCACAGTAAAATCACTTTAAAAAAATGTAAAGATTTGGGATTTTTAAGAAAACATTCAGGGCTGTAACATTTCAACAGCTTATTCGTTGTGATTCAACAATCATTTTCTGATATTACACTACTGTGGTTAAAGCTGCAGTAGGTAGGCTAACTTTTATATAAAAAATTAGTTTTCGTCATATTTGCGGAATTGTTGTGAAATGGCACGAGACAGATAATCAGGGAAAAAATCAGGTTCCTCTGGCTCCTCCTACTGCTCCTAATTTGCATGAATCCACCAGGCCTGAAAGAAATGATCTGTCTCATGTACTACTGTCAGGATATAGTAAAGGTTTCAATGAATAAGAAAAAAAGTTATTTTTATAAAAGTTACCCACTGCAGCCTTAAGCACAAAAAACTCCTTGGTAAGGTTATGTTCATTCTTTGTGAAAAGGAAAGGGATCCCAAAAGGAGAGCATGTGTGAGCCTCCAGAAAAGAGTTATTTATTTTGGCAGCAGTCTAAATTCCTTTTTGATAACTATAAATATGAATTAGCTTCTGCCATTTAAATTGCACCAAAAAAGAAACAACCATATTTATAAGCTACATCTTGCATGGTTAACAATCATCTAGCTAACATTAATGTATACTTAGCTATTTAAATGTGTCACATTAGCTAGCTACTTTGAACTTATGCCAACGTTATAGCCTCCAGTAGCCCACATTAACACCCATTGCTCATTATGGCATATATTCACATCATCACTTGTGATAGGAGGACAAACGCGCCAAATGGACACAAACAAGACAGCCATCATGCGCACATGTAGTTAAAATCAAGTATATCTCCAGACTTATTGTTATATAACGAGCGACTGGCTCCAATAAAGCAAAGTCTTGAAACCGTTTGTTAAAGTCTGATAGAAGGATTTCAATCTGCTCTGTGTAGCATCCACTGTCAAGTTGCGCACAGGCCTTCCCTTGTCTCTCCAGTTCTGATACGAGGTTCTGGAAGTTTGCCAAATCATGGTGCTGCAGCTTTGAGCCCAGATGTTGCATTTTTTGTTTGAACGCATTAACTGAGCTGATCATATTGACATGTGTTTTGTCTTTTCCTTGCAACTCAACATTAAGGTCATTCAACATGTTGGTCAGATCGGTTAAAAATGCTAAGTCTAGTAGCCACTGATCGTCATTTAGTTGGGTGTATTCTGCATGTTTAGATACAAGGAGAAACTCTTTAATCGTTAAAAATGTAAACGTAATGGGCACCCCTGCTCTAGATGGTATTACTTCGGCCTCCAGCACCACTGTCAGGAATCTTAGAGTTATCTTCGATCAGGATATGTCCTTTAATTCCCACATAAAGCAAACCTCCAGGACTGCCTTCTTTCATTTACGTAATATTACAAAAATTAGACACATCCTGTCACAGACGGATGCAGAAAAACTAATCCATGCATTTGTTACTTCAAGGCTGGATTACTGCAACTCTTTATTATCAGGTTGCCCCAATAAGTCCATTAAAACGCTCCAATTAATTCAGAACGCTGCAGCACGAGTACTGACAGGAACTAGAAAAAGAGATCACATCTCTCCTGTACTAGCTTCTCTGCACTGGCTCCCTGTAAAATTTAGAATCAAATTTTAAATTCTCCTCCTCACCTACAAAGCTCTTCATTGTCAGGCCCCTTCATATCATAGTACCCTATTACCCCACTAATAGTCTCGTAAAGTAGAACAGGAGCCAGAGCCTTCAGTTACCAAGCTCCTCTCCTGTGGAACCAGCTTCCAGTTTTGGTTCGGGAGGCAGACACCCTCTCCACATTAAAGAGTAGGCTCAGCCTCTCCCTCTCTGTGCACTCATTCATGTTCCATTAATGCATGTTACTAACTTCACTTCTTCCCCGGAGTTCTTGTGCTTTCTCGTCTCGCAGGTTCTCATGGATCCTGGTGGAGCCTCCTGCCATGGTCCTGCTTGACTCACATTGCTAATATTACTGATATTATTGTTATTATTATTACTACTATTATTATTATTACTACAGTTATTATTATTACTATAATCACTGCTCATTGTCCCCAATCGTTGTTGTTGTTGTCGTCGTTGTCATCTTCATGTTCATCATCATTATCACCATCAGTCACTAGTTGTTGCTACTGTTGTTGCTGTGCACCTTTGTCTCTGTCTCTGTCCTTCTGTCTTTACCCCATTCTCTCTCTCTCTTTCAATTCAATTCAATTCAAACGGCTTTATTGGCATGATGTAACACTGTACATATTGCCAAAGCAAGCGTTTGGAATTAAAAATAATAATAATAACAATAAAGGAAAACAATATTTACAATAAATTAAATATAATCTATACTGTTGGTAATACTGTAACTATGATTGAGTCAATCACAATCACAGTCACAATCAATCTCAGTCAATAAGTAATTAATTTACTTGCATCAGAAATTGCAACACTGTTTCACCTGAACTTGTCTGGAGTGGAGGATGAGATCCTGACACTACAAGCTGACATTGAGCTCAAGTCCAGGGCTCATGGACAGTTTTGGAACTTACAGAGGAAAAGTACCCCAACATGAGGAAATGTGCTACCTCCTTTGCTGCCTTATTCGGCTCTACTTATTTATGTGAGTCAGCCTTTTCCCACATTCAATTCAATTAAATTTTATTTGTATAGCGCCAATTCATAACAGAAGTTATCTCAGGACACTTTTCAAATAGAGCAGGTCTAGACCGAACTCTTTAAAACATTATTTACAGAGACCCAACAGTACCACCATGAGCAAGACCTTGGCGACAAGGGCAAGGAAAAACTGCCTGTTAAAAGGCAGAAACCTAGAACAGACCCTTCAGCTCTAGGTGGGTGGTCGTCTGTCTCGACCAGTCGGGGTGAAAGAGAGAGAGAGAGAGAGAGAGACAGACAGACAGAGAGAGAGAGAGAGAGAGACAGACAGACATACAGACAGACAGACAGACAGACAGACAGGTGCAGAGCAACAACAGTATTGGCAATGGCAGTTAAGCAGGACCATGGCAGGAGACTCCACCAGGATCGATAAGAACCTGCGAGACGAGAAAGCACAAGAACTCCGGGGAAGAAGTGAAGTTAGTAACATGCATTAATGGAACATGAATGAGTGCAGAAAGAGAGAGGAAGAGAGGAGCTCAGTGCACCATGGGAAATCCCTTGATAGTCTAGGGCTATAGCAGCATAACTAAGGGATGGTTCAGGACTCACCTGATCCAGCCCTAACTATAAGCTTTATCAAAGAGGAATGTCTTAAGCCTACTCTTGAATGTGGAGAGGGTGTCTGCCTCCTGAACCACAACTGGAAGCTGGTTCCACAGGAGAGGAGCTTGGTAACTGAAGGCTCTGGCTCCTGTTCTACTTTTAGAGACTATAGGAACCACAAGTAGCCCAGCATTCAGAGAACGTAGTGTTCTAGAGGGGTAATAGGGTACTATGAGCTCTTTAAGATATGAAGGGGCCTGACAATGAAGAGCTTTGTAGGTGAGGATGAGGATTTGAAATTCTATTCTAAATTTTACAGGGAGCCAGTGCAGAGAAGCTAGTACAGGAGAGATGTGATCTCTTTTTCTAGTTCCTGTCAGTACTCGTGCTGCAGCGTTTTGAATTAATTGGAGCGTTTTAATGGACTTATTGGGGCAACCTGATAATAAAGAGTTGCAGTAATCCAGCCTTGAAGTAACAAATGCATGGATTAGTTTTTCTGCATCCGTCTGTGATAGTATGTGTCTAATTTTTCTAATATTACGTAAATGAAAAAAGGCAGTCCTAGAGGTCTGCTTCATGTGGGAGTTAAAGGACAAATCCTGATCAAAGATAATTCCAAGATTCCTGACAGTGGTGCTAGAGGCCAAGGTAATGCCATCTAGAGTAACTATATCTTTAGACAGTGATTCTCTAAGGTTTTTGGGGCCAAGAACAAGAATTTCATTTTTTTCTGAGTTTAACATCAGAAAATTGCAGCTCATCCAGGATTTTATGTCCTTAAGACATGTTTGTAATTTAGATAATTGATTAATTTCATTGGGCTTGATTGATAGATATAACTGCGTATCATCTGCATTACAGTGAAAGTTAATGGAGTGATTCCTAATAATGTTGCCTAAAGGGAGCATATATAGAGTAAATGGTATTGGTCCAAGTACAGAACCTTGTGGAACTCCATGACTAACTGTAGTATTTATTGAAGATTCATCGTTAACATGTACAAACTGTGAACGATCTGATAAATATGACTTAAACCAGCTTAGTGTGGTTCCTTTAATACCAATTTGATGCTCAAGTCTCTGTAAAAGAATATTA